TTTACCTTCTTATGTCAGGTTTTTCAGCCATTTCCATGATGACAGATTTAGATTCTATCCTTTGAAATCTGATTTAATTTGCTGAACCATGTTCAGCAGTAGTAAGACTTTTAGTATTACAATGTAAGTATAATTTTTTGAAATATCCCGTAAAATTTAGTGCATGTATGTAGGGTCCTGTTTTTTCCCTTTTTATTTATTTAAATTGAATAAAAGGCTGGAATAAGTCATAATATCATTAGTTTTAAGTTGTAGACAATAGTTTAGTATAGTACAAGTATTTTAATAATAAGAAGAGACTTATTATGTTTAGTTGGCTATGATGCTTGACAAGAGTCATTTATTAGCTATGTTAAAACCAACATTATTAAGCTGGAAACGGACCACGTAAATAGAAACTTGAATTTTATCAAATACATGATTTGATTTTGACTTTAGCAGAATTACAAAATGAAAAATATAATAAGTTGTATATAAAAATTTGTATTTAAATTAGCTCTACTATAACTCCTCAAATTTTCTAAAATTTTCCATGCTTCCTAGGAAATGGCTTAGAAAAAAATGTTTAAAATCTATCTTTTCTTTCACAGATGAGCTATATTATTCTATTTTTAGTATCTGACTTATAGCTAGTCACTAGTTGTGGTTTACATAGTTATACTGCTAAGTATGTTAAACATTTCAAAGCACATCTGATGTTTGCTTATTTTACAACTCTGTGTTACTGTGTGGCTAATTCTTTTATATATATATATATATATATATATATATATATATATATATATATAATCCCTTGCATTTAGTGTTCAAAGTTGTATTAGGATTTCCACATTGCTCAAATCTGATGGTGATATTCACATATTAATCTATATGAATAGTGTCCCCTGGAGTCCTGCAGCCCAGGTCTGTATCAGAGGTTCCCATATGCTGTCTTTTCCTCATTAAAATTTAAGAGTGAGTAGAGGGGTAGATTTCTCTATTTTGGGGGCTCAACTTGATTTGTTAACATACTTCAAGTATGTGGACCTGGTTTCACATCTAGACATTTTCTATTTGGGTGATACCTTGAGAAATTTGGCAAATACCTTGAAATTGTCAATTTCAAGGCCAATCCACTTATTTACCTTTGCTGTGTGATGGGAATAGTTTGTCTTATTGTAGTAAGAATCTAAGTCTAAATATCAAGTAAAGTCTCTGACTGAGACACAACTAAAATGGGTTGTATCAAAGAATATGGATTCCTAGATCAACACTGAATGATCATTCCAAGGGGAGGCTTCAACTTTATTAACCTACAAATGCTTCCTTCAAATTTCAGAGTAAGTTAAAATTAGAGGAATTTCCTTACTTAGAAGAGAAGCATTTCAGTATGAATTGGGCTAACTAAATCTTCCACAAAATCTTCCTAGACAATCAGTTCAACAGAACTTCAAATTAATATCTGAGGTTGCTATTCTATATTTCCAAACCAGCTGGAAAATTCTCAAAATTTCTAGCTGGCAATCATCTGGGAAAAAATAAAACACCTACTAGATTGTAAAAATCAAATTCTTAAACATTTTACAATTATTTAAAGGTTTTAGTTTGCCTTCCCAAACATGTATCTTCTTTTCCTATAGAGCCTCATTTTTTCACCCCACTCCCACCCTAGGTAATTCATATCCTCAGTTTCATGTCCAGTCCAATCATGGTGTCCCTTCCCCTTGCAATGATAGCTCTAAACATGAATATATGATATATTTCTGCAAACGAACCATGTAGGAGAGTCTGCTGGAGTCTTCTGAGAAATGTTTCTTCATTCTCATGAAGAGGAAAGAGAGAGAGAGAGGAGGAGTTGGGAGAGGGAAAGAGAAAGAGAAAGTTTTCTTCTGGACATTGTTAGGTTTCGATGTGATAACTGTAACTTCAGAATGCATTTTATGGCCTCAAGGGGAATTAGCCTCCAGGTCTTCCACTCATGATAGCAGAATGTAAAGAAAAAAAAAATGGTCTGAGTCAAGGTATTGGTCAGGATTCTCCAGAGGAAAAAAACCCATTTATATATATATATATATATAAATTTATTATAGCAATTGGCTCATGTGATTATGAAGGCTGAGAAGTCCCACAAAATGCTGTGCGAAAGCTGGAGACCCAGGGAAGCTTATAGTGTATTCAGTGCAAGTGCATAGGCTTGAGAACCAGGTGTGTGAGGCAGGGGTTGGGGAATGCTAGGAAAACAAGTTCTAAGGTTTGAAGGCCTCAAAACAGGAGCTCCACTCAAGGGCAGGAAAAGATGGATGTCCCAGTTCCAGAAAAGATAGTGAATATGCCCTTTCCCTGCCTTTTTGTTCTGTTTGGTGGTCCCTCAGTAGACTGCATGATGTCTACCAACATTGGTAAAGAAGGACCTTTTTTGCTCAGTCTGTTGATTCAAATGTTAACCTCTTCTGGAAACACTGCACAGGCCCACCCCAAAATGTTTTATCTGGGATCTGTTAGTCAAGTTGACATATAAAATTAACCATCACAGTCTTTGATTATGAAATTGTTACTCAATTAGTCAACTCTGGAGTTGACTAATATATATAAGTCTATCACTAGACTTCTTTATTATATGAGATGAAAATTTAAGCCACTTGAATCAGCTTTGTTAGGGTTCTGTCAACCACAGGCAGCAGAAAATCCAATTCAGCTAGATGAAATTTATTATCTCAGTTGAGATCATTCTAAATAGCATAATACTACAAGTCATAGTTTGAATAGTCTCTGAATTTCTGCCTTGATCTCTGCTTCTAGGAAGGACTGCTCTTCCAATTGGTCCATTGTGCCATCATTGAAATGACATTTCCAAAATTCAAGCATGATCATGTTACAACTCTGATTAAGTTCTTCAAAGGCTACTTCTTACTTTCTTGGTCTGGCCCACAGATCTTTCTTCATTGGGTCTAGGCCGATCTTGTTGGCATCGTATTCCATCAGTTTAAGCCCCATATGAACCCTAATGCTAAACATTTCACTATTGTCATTGCTTGCCCATGTTGTGTTATGTCTTCTTTATGCTTTACAGAGATTCTTCCCATTGTGTAGGACAACCTTCCCTATCTGATAGATTACTCAGGTCAGCCTTCAAGACTCAGCCCTTCCTAATTGGCCTCCAATGTCTCCTAAGATACTAGATGCTCCTCTTCAGGGCTCCCAACACCCCCTGAGCATGTGACCCTGCAGTATTATTGTCAGATTACATCTGAGTATACAGTCTTTGATGGAAAAAAGGTGTCTTATTTTGTGTCAGGTAATAAGCTGGCATTTCCAATTTCTAGTACATTATCTGTCACAAAATAAGTAGGTAATAAATGTTGACTAATGAGAAAAAATTCTATAGTCCCAACTTGGGTTCATGAAGATCACCGTACAGTTTCTGAAGAAAACAATTGTCCCTTTTGACTGACATATTCCTGATATTTTGCAGACCATAATATGCTCAACAGGGTAGGAGGGGCAAAAAGAAGAAGGAAAATTTATTTAATTCTGTAACATTTGTTGTCAAAATTCTGGAGGAAGGTAAACCACACTAAGTAAAGATTTTCTTTTGTTTAACATTTATCTGTTCTATCCATGCTGAACTCATGTGATAAATTAGACAACAAATGTGTATTGAGTGCCTACTCTTTGTGGAATGTTGAAAGCATTTAAGATACAGCAGTGAACAAAACAGCTCTCAGAGAGTATTGGATCTACAAATAAGCTTTAACCAGTCATTTCCCCTTTGTGCATCTTAGTCCTGTATTTGTTTATGAACAAGAAACACAACCATAGAAAGCTGCAGATTCTTGGGTGAAAGTCACTGGTAAGGATGTGGATATATTATTCATAAGTGCTGCCACTTCTTTCTAGAATGAAGGACCGTTAAGAGGAAAAGGTCTTGGATCAAATCTGTTTGTTGACTTTGTTTTCAGCAATCCACATCAATAGGTTTTGAATTTATTTATTTACCTTTTTAAATTTTGAGACAGGTTTTTGAAGTTGCCCAGGCTGGCCTTGAACTTTCCATTCTCCTGGCTTAGCTTCTTAAGTAGTTGGCATTACATAAATGTGTGTCACTGACCTGGTATCAGATTTGTTTTTCTAAATGGGAGTTTTATATATACATGAATTATTTAGAGGTCTCAACTTCCTTTCTTGCTGCAAATTTCATTAAGGATACATTTGGGACAATGAGCCCCATCTTAGCACTTTTTTTTTCTCTGGTTAGCTGGGACTTTGCACTAAGAGCCTCCACCTGGGCACATCACAGCTTTAGAAGCTGATCTGGGTATAGGGACTATTTCCTACAAAAACCAGGCATGTTTAAAAGGGACTAAAGGAAACTTTTGTTTCCTTCCTACAATTTTAGCTTCTATTGAAGTGAAAGCAAGATGGAAATAAAAGCCACATTTATTTTTCTTCTGAGAAAAGACATTACCATGTTAAGAAAAAAAGACCTAATTGCTCTGTGGGAAATGTTTTTATTTTACAAATACTCTGTGTCTTTGAAGTGGCAGCATGATTACATTTCTGACAGTATTACTGGTACAACTCCTTGTCTCCCCAGGGAGAGTAATATGGGGATTTCCCTTCTTTTGGAAGGAATGGCAAACTCCCTAGTACTCAAGGTACACTTGATTTAAGCAAGATTCGAAATAACGAAAACCAGATGATATCACAACAAATAATGAAAGTTTGGTAGTTAAGCTAAAATAAACTGTCTTATCCAGAACACAATGGGAGAATGAGAGAAAACTTCAAAAATAACTCCGAAATCCATTTTTCACAACTTTCCAAAGGCTCTGTCCTCTCCAAGTGAGGAAATGTGAGAGGAATTGAGGGGAATAAGTGCAAAGTGTAGGAAACGTAAACAGTACAAAAAAAAAAAAAAAAAAAAAAATAGGGGCGTGGAGGAAGGGGACAGCTTTAGGGTCTCACCCCACCTGGAGGCAAAGCTGCGGCAACAGGTGACCTGCCTCCGCCCAAATGTGCCCCTAGAAGGCGCTTTCGCAGGAGCAGGGCAGTGGTCTGGGGCGCGGCGGGGGTGGGCGCAAGCAGCCCTGGTCCCGATGCTCCCGCCGAGCGTGGTGGTAGTGCGGGTGGGGCCACCGGTGGCGGTGGAGCGCCTGGTGGTCCCCGGCCCACTCATTGTCTTCAGAGACTCCCTCCCGCGCGCAGCACACAGCGCCCAGGCGCCTCCGTAGCCTCCGCCAAAGCCAGCCATCGCCCGCCTGGAAGAAGAGGTAGACGAAAGGGTTGAGAGCACTACTGGCCACTCCCACGGCGCGCAAAACGGCAGCCTGGCCTCCCTCCCAGTCTCCCGCAGGCCTGGACGACCACGCGGCCGCCAACCGGGCGGCGAAGTAGGGCAGCTCACAGCCCACAAACAGCAGCGCCAGTACCAGGCTCATCTTCAGGCTCTGAACCTTGGCACGGGGCAGCGCACTGGGCTCGGGGCCTCGGGCCGGACTAGCCGACCAGGGAGCCGCCATGGCTTGGGCCTGGGGCCGGCGCTGCCACCAGACGCTGAGCAGGTGGCTGCAAGCGACGCCCATGACCGCGACTGGCGCCCCGAAGCCCGCGACAGCCTCGTAGAGCGCGTAGATCTGCAGATGCCAGCGCGGGAGAAGGGCAAAGATGCCGCGGCAGCGACGCTCCCTAGGCCAAGAGCGGGCGGCCGGGGACGCAGCGGAAGGCGGTGGCTGCGGAATGTCCCCGCGCACCACGAAAGTCGGGGGCAGTGCCAGGAGCAGCGCCAGCAGCCAGCCCAAGGCGGCGAGGGAGCGTGCGGGCAGCGGCGGACCCTGGGGACGTCGCACAGCGCGCTGGCGCTCGAGAGCGATGAGTGCCACGAAGTGGGCAGAGGCACCCCGGCCAGACGCCTGTAGCAGCTGCATGAAACGGCACGCCAGGTCGCCCGCAGCCGGGCGCGGCCCTTCCAGCATCTCCCAGCCCAGCTGGGACAGTGCAGTACCCCCGCACGCGTACAGGTCCGCCACGGCCAGCTGCATCAGCAGAAAGTCCATCTTGCGACGCTTGGGACCTGCCCACGGCCCGCCGCCGCACAAACGACATAACACCGTGGCGTTGCCGGCCACTGCCGCCACCAAGAAGACCCCCAGTAAGACCAGGCTGACCCGGGGGATGCGTGGTCCGGGTGGCGGCGACTGCGGCCCCGGGGCGCTGGCTCCCTTTCCAGAAGTCAGGTTGAAACCCCAGTTCGGCAAGATGGGTACGGAGAGATTGGGTGCAGGTGGCAGAGTTGAGGGGCTGAAAGGATCTTCCATCCTTAGGCAGGAGGAAGGGGAGGCACCGAAGAAGGCAGGCAGAGCGCGGGAAACCAAAGTGGAGGCGAGGTGGCGCAGAAAGAGATGCTGGGTGTACACGAGTTCCCAAAGTTAGTTGGAAAAGCACACGCATCGAGAGGGAGATGGATTTGGGTGGATTTGCACTTAGTTGTTTTTATAGGTTGTCCTCGTCATTTGTCACTCAAATGTGGGTTGTACACTCAAGGAACACACATGATTCCTATTCTCCACCTTCTCCTCATCTCGCTCCCCAGTCCTAGCATATTCTTTTATAATCTCTGTGGCAGCCCTCCAAGCTACCCATGCGAGAGCTGCGGATAAGTGCTTTGGGAGCTTCACACTTTCAATATTTACTTGTAGAGCACAGCCGGTCGCTTTGCTTGGCCATTTGTAAAGGCTAATGTTAACCAGGGCCCAACACAAGAGATAGGAAGCTCTAGACCAAGATTGTACCAACTCCCCCACACTCCCACATGGTTTCGTGATTGCCTGTAAGAAGAAAGGAAAACCAAAAAGACCGAATTGAAATGCTGTGGGTCTGCGCTACAATGAGGAACACAGGAGCGCCAGAAACCTAACAGCATTTTGAGCAGAAAGAAGATATGCCTTCCTTTGCCCAGCAATGGGAGTGTGTCAGTTGGAGAGAACTAAACGCAGTGCTGTTGCCTGGCAATTAGGAGTGGCAGTGGTTTGCAGATAGTTTCAGATACTCCTCATTAATAGCAGCAGTGGATTACAGCTGCCCTCTCTGTGATGTAAAATTCATTTCATTTGTCTGAAGAGGGCATTAATAGGTTTTATGCAAATGGCATATGTGTTTTGCTTTTTCCTAGTATTTTCATCCACTGAGGAATGTGTCACCAAGGCTCTCCTTCTCTTGATCCTGTTTTCCAGCAGATGGGAGGTTGCTAGGAGGGACTACGCCTCCAATAATCCTAGAGAAATGGTGACTAAGAAAATGATAAGGCGGCCAATTTTTAAAAAGGAAATCCAAATCACAGGAAATGGTTTAGATTAAATGCTGCCTCTTTTATTTTAGTCCTACTTCACAAACAAATTTTAGTTTTCCTGTTAGAAGCATCAATTTGTCTTTTGTGCATCCTTCACGTTAATCACGGTAAAAGTAGAAGTTCCTGTACTTACTGGTCTGCAGGCCAGGGAGGTGTGGGTGTCTGCTGGGGTTCACATTCCCAGGCTGATGAAAGGTTTGGAACTTGAAGGTGCACAGAATAGAAAGGTTTGGTTTGGTACATGTGACAGTCCTTCCAGTTGTTGTACGAATCTCATTTTTTAAGGTCTTTTTTAGTCAGAGACCTCTGCCATTTTCATTGTCATATCAGTGCTGGGCCTGATACAAAGTAGATATCAGTGAATATATGTTCAGTTGATGAAATAATGAATATAATGCATTTCAGGTAATCTGGAGTGAAAATTCCTGCCTTGACTATAAATCCACCACCTAAGGGGGAAAAAAATGCCTTTCCTACCCATCCCAATATCATCTAGAGAAGATCAAGGAAGCTTTGTGGAGATGTATGGATGGAGTTGTCTTGGATGGGACATTTAAGAAAGAGGTAGAATGATAGCTCTGGAAAACTCCAAAGTTCAGTTTTGATTTTCACATTCTTCAGGGTCTTGTCCGAGGCCCCTTTCTGCGTAACATTATCCAGCTTATGATCCGCTCTTAGCAGTACTCATCATTCAGTCATTCTCCTACCCAATGTTAGTTCAGTATTCCTCAAGATAATTCTATAACTGGTCTCAGATTTGTTGAAATGCTCATGCATATTACAAAACAATACTCTAGCAGTGAAATTACATTTCATAGAACTTAACATTTCATAAGACCTGTTAAAACATTGATTTAAAAACGAATTCTTATCAAAATAGCACATGTACATAGTTTTAAAGTCAAATAGAACTAGAAAGCTGATAACATAAATGACTCTCTGTCCTAACATTTCTGTTTTTACATCTTCTCTTCTACTCTTTGCTGTTTCTTTTGGTATTTACTTAATTCCATTATTTTAAGTAATAAATGTGTAATGCTTTTTATTGATTCAACAGTTTAGATATTTTCTGTTAACTTCTTACTAGAAAAGGATGAAGATTTACTTTTCACATCTCTGTTCCCACTGTTTTCCCTTTCTCATAGTATCAAAATAGTAATATTACAATTTGGGGATATACCTGTATTGAGTGTTTGCATTATTATAAAATGAAACTATTTTCACTGAGTGTTGTAGTATATTATAAAGATCATTATTTTCTGTTTTGGAAATTAATAATTGCCTTCTCTTACTTTTCATTGTAATCACAGGTAATGCCTTTTTTTTTGGGGGGGGGGGGCTAGTACTAGGGATTGAACACAGGGCTGCTCTACCACTGAGCTACATTCCCAGCCCTTTTTTTTTTTTTTTTTTTTTCATTTTGAGACAGAGTCTTAGCTAATTGACTAGGCTGGCCTGCAGCTTGAGATCCTCCTGTCTCAGCTTCTGGAGTAGCTGATATTACAGGCATAGATAATAATTAATAATAATATTATTATTATTTAGTTGTTGATGGACCTTTGTTTTTATTTTTTTATATGCGATGCTGAGAATTGAACCCAGAGCCTCACACATGTCAGACAAGCGCTGGCATATAGTCCCTCTGTACAATTTCTACAAGGTCTGTTTCATAACAAAATATGGCAATTCCATTTTTTCCTCCCTGGAAACCTCCTTTTCAGAGACTTTCATTTCCCTTTAGTTTGGGCTGATTTCTCTAGGTGTGACACATTACTATCAGGCAGGGACTTCTACTTGTTGTCACTGAAATTGTCTCTCTTTTGGTTTGCAATTCCTGTTTCTTGAATCTTTGGGTTGTTTGTTTATTTGATTTATTCTCTTGGTAGAAAACATCCATTATTTCATAAGGCTAAAAAGTTTGTATAAGGTTTGAGGACTAAGCAGTGAGAGACCTCCTTGTGTCCATTACTTGAGTCATGAAGACAGTCTGCCTGGACAGGTGGACTTTTAGGTCACTCATTCTGGCATCTTTCTTCATCATCATCATCCTAGAGATTCCTTCCACTTACACTGTTTCTCCAATTTTCTGATTTCATGATTTTTTTTTTCTTCCTTGATTTAATTTCCTTGCTTGGGAAGAAGGCATCCTTCAGTGACTTCTTGAGAAAGGGGAATTTTTTGAGACTTTGCATATCTGAAAATTTCTTTACTCTAACTTCATATTTAACTAATGATTTAGCAAGGTTTAGAATTCTATTTAGGAAAACATTTTCTTGCTAAATTTTGGAGGCATTGCTTCCTGGCTTCTAAGTGTTTGTGTTGAAAAGCTATAAGTCATTCTCATTCATGATTTGTTTTGATGTGATCATTATTTTTTCCCTTCTAGAAAGAAGCTTATTTTTCTTCTCTGTTTCTAACAAATTTCACAAAGATGTGTTTTGTTGTGGGTTTATTTTTATCCACTGTGTTGGGAACAAAAAAGCATGGTGAATTATATTCAATTGTAATATTTCTTTAGTGGCCTTTAATCTAGAACAGTCCCTCAGGCTTTCTTTTTCCTTTCATGGTATTGACATTTGAAAAGACCAAGACATACATATACAGGATGTTCTTAAAATTTTCTTTATTTCCACATAATTATAATTGGATTAGACTTTTTTTTTGCGGGGGGGGGGGGCAGGAATATTACATAGTTAATACTGTGTATCATTTCAGGGGCACCTAATCTCAATTTGTCTCAATAGAAGCAACATTAAGGTTGATAAATATATTTTGAAAAGTCAGTATTTATTTTATTAATAGTACATATTAATTGTAGAAAAGTAGATAATTCATACTCACAACAACCAAAATATCACTTAACATCTGCCCAGGCAACAATTGTTAATAGTTACATGTCATTCTGTTATGATTTGGATCTAAAAAGTCCCCCAAAGGCCATGTACTGAAAGCTTGGCTGCCAACCTGTGATGCTATGTTGCAACCTTTGGGAGGTGGGGCCTAGTTTCAGGAAGTAGATGCCTAGTTTCAGGAAGTAGATCCCCAGGCTTGACCTTTGAAGGGTATATTTTCTCTCCAACGTTTCTCTCTTCTTCTCCTTCTCCTTCTCCTTCTCCTTCTCCTTCTCCTTCTCCTTCTCCTTCTCCTTCTCTTCTTCTCCTTCTTTCTTCTTCTTCTTTTCTCTCTCTCTCTCTCTCTCTCTCTCTCTCTCTCTCTCTCTCCTCTCCTTGAGGGGAGCAGCTGTGCCTCACTACTGCACTCCCCACCACCTTGATCTGCCTCAACAAAGGCCAGAAGTGATGGAGCCAACTGACTGTAAACTGAGACCTCTTAAACTGTGAACCAAAATAAATCTTTCCTCCTGGAAGTTGATTTCCTCCCTTCCTAAGCCAGAGCAAGATAAAGCTAACACACCTTCAGACTATAATGACTTGATCTATATATTTACAAAAATTATAAGTCATACTATATATTCATTTTGTATCCCACTTTTATTCCATTTGAGATATTTGAATAGCTTTCCATATTAATAAATAAAAACATATCTTTTAATGTTAAATGGATTAATTATTTAAATAGCTCCTTATTTCTGGACAAGGATTTAAAGTATTTTTATAAATAATTCTGTAAAGAACATATTGTCACATACATCCTTGCGCTTACATTAAATTATTCTCTTATGATAAAATACTGGAATTGGAATTGCAAGGGAAAAGCACATGGATTCTTGAAACATTTTAATTCCTGGTGCTGAATTGCTCTTAATAAGGCACACAAGTAATGTGTCTTTTTCTCTATGGTCCCAACAATATCAGCATCATCATTTTATTGTCATTCTCACAGATGAAAAACATTTAGATATAATTAACATAAAATGAACCTTTGAAATACACAATTCATTGCTTTTTAGCATTTTCACAAGTTTGTGTAGCTGTCACCACTAATTTGAAAATGTTTTCAGTATCTCTA